TGCTGTGCTGGCTCTGTTGTGTTTCCCAACCATATATATAAATATATATATATATATATATATATATAAAGAAGCGGTATGTGAGTCTGGTGGGCCTCAGATACCGCTTCTCCTTTATGCTCGGGCACCTATGATAGGGTGCATGCGCCATGTTCTTAATATTCCAGAGCCCCGCGCCACTGTGTGATAAAACTTTTCACCTGAGGGGACTTACCACCAACAGGCCAAGGCTACTATTACTGATAAAATTTATGTCAGTAGTAGTAGTGTGATAATTTAACATATTACCATTAGACGAAGATCCAACACACACACAAATAATAGAAAAATAGCAATAGGAGACACCAAATTTTTTTACATGGAAAAATCTTAGAAAGGAAAAAATTATGGGATGTAGCTCAGTCGAAGTAATACATTATGTGATTGTTAGTATATATGTCTACTTTTCTTTTGAATTAAAAATTATAGAATTACAAAGTTGATAATCACAGACGTACTATAGTAGTTTAGCTTTAATAGTTGTAATTGTGCTACAACAAATGTAATGGTGGCGATAATAGCAAGAGTGTGTCTTAAAGACCGTAGTTGATCGCTACAAAGGCAATAATTTTTTATAAGGGTTGTAGTCGGTAGCTGCAATAACATTAGTTAGTCACGGAGACCACAGTTGGAAGTTATAGTAGTAGTTAGCCACGGAGACCGTAGTGGGGAGTTCACTTATGCCATAGTTAATAGTTTTCAGAGTGTTAGTTAGCTACATAAGTCATAGTTAGTAGCTACAATAATGCTCAAAAAATTTTATACTGTTTCATTGACATGTATTCTTGCGTGGTTGATGCGTGCTTCACCGCAGCGCGAATCAATTAACAAGCTAAATGACAATAATTTTTTATACTAGAAGATGTAAATCAAGGTCTTTTCACGCCAGAAAAAGGTTATCTTTACATATATTGGAGATGCAGCTAACAACCATTGGCCAAAGAGATTGGGATCTCCTTGGCAGATATGCGTTACGACTTATAAGCCTAACATTGATTAAGAATTTTGCTTTGAAGATATTGCACAATAAGATTAGAACTAGCGAAATGAAGGCTCTATCATATATATACAGAAAGCTTTTATTTGTATGCAGAGTATATTCAATGAAAAAAAAAAATCAATCTCAAGGTAGTTGAAGCTGCTTCTATAGAAGATCATATCAATGATTTAATCTAAGTATAAGTTTGTTGAGCTCAATTATTTTTTATGATGAAGTTAGTAAATTGAATTTGTTCTCATTATTATTGAAAAGCTTAGCTATTGTTATGAATGTTGTTGCCCCTTTATCGCCAACAAGGCCAACAAAATTTGGAACTAAATGATAGTCAGGACTTGATGTTGAGCGAGGATATCAGGAAATGAGAATTAGATAAAGAATATTTTTTGCTACTCAGTAACTTGATAGCTAATGATGTACAAAAATGTGGCAAAAATGGAAGGGGAATATGGATAGTGTTTAGATCAGGCAAATGATCAATGAATACTATAATTGATAAGATCTATGAATGCTATGTTGATTAGATCTATGATACACTTATCTTTAGTGCTGATAATCTAATATTGTCATAAATGCTAGATCCATAGAAGTCATTTCTCTCTATTCCACATAAAGAGGTTATGTCTAATTATTATAATATAGATTACAAAAATTATAATCTTGTTGATAATGCATCCTTAACCATTGTTGGAGTTGGTTGTGTCTAAATAAGTATACTGAATGAGATTATGTGGAATTTTTATATTATGCGGTACGTGATTAGCTTGAAAGGGAATATGATCTTGTTCGGACAACTAAAGGGAGAAGGTTACATCTGAGCCTTTTATATTGATATTTTGAACACGGTCAAACATATCATATTGAAGCAAATATTGCAACTTATATGGAAATCAAATGCAAGAATAATAAGAGGAACTTTTGACTCAAAATCTGACTTAAAAATTAGATATTGAATGCTGGGACACATGAATGAGAAAGTAATGAGGATATTGCAAGCTCTTAAGTTTAAAGCCGTTGAATCTTGTTTTAATGAAAACTTTTGCTTTGCAAAGGCAAAGGAGAGCTAATTTGAATGAATAAAAATAACCAGGGAAGTTAGAGCTTAGACACACTCGTGTCTGGGGACTAACTTCATTGGCATTTCTTAGAGTCTCATCGTATTATCTCTCCTTCACTGATATATGCTTCAAAAAATTATTAGTTTGCTTTGTGAAAGATGAATCTAAAGTATTTGTTTGTTTCAAGGGATAAAAAAGTCAGGTGGAGAATGCGTCTGGCGTGAATATCTAGTGCTTAAATACAAAAAAAATTTCTATAACAGGGAGTTAAGTGAATTTTATGCATTTGGCAGCATAAATTTGGAGGGGACGTATCTAAGAACACAACAACATGATGGATTTGCTAAGTGCATGAACAAGACACTGAATGAAAAAGCTAGAGCACGAGGTTTATTCTGCATTACCTAGGTTTTCCATGTTTATGTTATGGGCAATGTTACTTATCTGATTGAGAGAGGGCCCTTAGTGTCTTCGGTTCAAAGTTACATTTTGAATTGTATACTGGAAAAGAGGTTTTCATAAGGGAATAGGTCGAGCTTAATGAGATATTTGATGATGATCTGCTTGGGGGTAGTCAAAGGAGTTAGGATGTTGATACATACGAAGGACCAAGTATGCTTCTAATTCAGTTCAGAAAATCTCCCTGTATATTTAGACAAACACATATACTCTCATCCTGCATATTTATAGTTAACCAATGCTTTTGAAATTTAAGAAACAATACAGAATAAATATTCCGTCAAGTGCTAGCTATCAAGTACCAAAAAGGCTTTGTGAGACAAATGGTATTTCAGGATCAAGGAGCATGGTTAGCAAATCAAGGATTGTGGTGCTAGGGTTTTACAATTGATATGTTGAGGTACTACATAGTTTCAGTCAGCCTCAATCATTTAGAGTGGTATTACAAAGAGATGATTCTTTCAAATTAATACATCTAGTTCAACCCCCTAATAGAAGATTATCACATTGTGGGCATGAATCTTCATCAACATTGATTGTAAATGTCAAAACCAATCTAACCTTTAGTTAGCAATCTCAGTCTCATCATCACCAGTGATAATAATGTCATTAACATACACAACAAACATAGTGATGTGACCACCATTTTGACGAAAGAACACCGTATGGTTAGCATTAATCTGTTGATATTCCATGTCTAACCTAACTTTTTTAAACTTGTCAAACCAGACTCGAGGAGATTGCTTCAAGCCAAAGTGACTTTCTGAACCTACACACCTTGTCCACTGTCTAACCTGTATCGAATCCTGGTAGTATGTCCAAAAACGCCTCCTCCAATAACTCACCATGAAGAAAATCATTTTTTACATTGAGTTGGTGTAACCTCCACCCACCATTCACAGTCAGGAAAACCATCTTTCCTATCGGTGCAAAAGTCTTGTCATAATCAATGTCATATGTTTGACTGTACTCTTTCGCTATCAATCGTGCATTGTAATGCTCTTTTTTTTTTTTGGGATTTTGTTTTAATGTGATGATCCACTTGCACCCAGTTGTTCTTTTTCTCATTGGTCATGGTATTATTTCTCACGTCTTGTTTCTTATCAAAACGCCAAATTCCTTTAGCATGACAGTCTTCTACTTTGGATCCTCCTTAGCTACTTGCCAATACTTGGATATAGAGATATTGTCTAAAAATGCATTGAATACTCCGTGTACAGATGATATGTTAGAGTGTGAGATAAATTAAGTTATGTCATGTAAGAAACCAAAACAATCAGGAGAACAACGATCGGAACGCATTATTGCGAGAGGTCCTCCTTAAAACCATGGAAGTGAGAGAAGGGAAAGAAATCATATCATATGAGCAATCAGATTCTGAAGTTGAAGGTATAGGTGTTCTAGGGTAGACCAAAACAAGGGACTTGATGACACGACAGACACTGTTCTCAGACTTGATGGCATGATTGGCACAACAAACACTGTTTTCTCATTCTGCCTCTTGTTCCTTGTATACACTTTCATCTTCCTTTGAGCTTGAACCCCTCCACCTTCAGGATCATTTCTCTCATTTTTCGGCTCTTCCTCAACCGATCCTTCCCACACAACAGGACACGACATCGTTCCCACATGCACCAATCTCTGACCATCACTGCTCTCCCTTCACGCCTCTTACCTCCAGTATTTGATGAGTTGTCAAGGGTGAGATCACCTTCACAGTGTATTACGGTTCGAACGCTCTAGACGACACATCCTTGCTCACAAACACTCACTTCACTATCGGATTCCAACAAATATACCCCATTTTAGTAGCAGAATAACCCATTAAAACACACTTCACAGTTCTAGGATCCAATTTCTTTATTGACTATCTGTTTACTTCACAAAACATACTCAACTAAAACCTTTAATGGGAGTATTCTGCTTATTATCTTCTTTCAGCATCTGAAAATGAAACATTCAATCCAACTTACTCGAAGACATTCTTTTGATCAATTGAGTTGCTGTCAAATTGATTACCCCCATAAGTGCTTTGGGACATTCCTCATGATCATCATGTTTCGAGCTATCTTTAAAAGGTGTTTATTCTTCCTCTCAGTTACTCAATTTTGTGTTGATGTGTATAAACGTGTGGTTTGATGTTGTATCCCTTAGACTAACAAGTATTCCCCAGACGTATTGTCTGCATACTTTGTCTCTTTATCATACATCAATATCTTCACTATTACACCATATTGAGTCTAAATAGCCTTATTAAAGTCTTTAAAGCAGGAAAGCACATTATTTTTGTTTCACATCAGATATAACTAGGTAACATGAAAAAAACAATCGAGACAAAATATTTGTAACCATCCATAGAAGTTGTACAACAAGGTTCACATATATCTGAGTGCACTAAATCAAAAACATAATAATTTCTTTTATCAGAACTAACATGAGAGCTCCTGGTATGCTCACCAAACTCAGAAGCATCACACACAAGTTTTTGTTTTTTTTTCTTTTCATACAAGGATGAATACAAACGACTCAATAGACTAAACAAAGAGTGTCATATGCATTTGTGATGTAGTAGCAAAACATCCTCCACACTTTTCTCAGATCCTCTCGTTCCAATATTTTCAACCATGAATGTCAATGCTGAGTTCATTCCCTCTTTATCTAAGTATCAAAGTTCACTATGCCAAGTGTCAGTCTCAAGTCTCTGGCCAATCCCCTTCTCTTGAAAGATCACCTTTGGAATATTAAATGAAATAACTTATTTTAATTGGAGTATAATGACGTTATTGGATAAAAGATTCATTGGAAAAGGAAGAAACATACAAAACATTAGACAAAGTCATAGATTTGGTACACCTCATTGTACCCTTACTAACCACAGGTTGTGTTATACCATCAGCTGTCTGAATGCTCTCTGGAACTGTTAGGCGAGTATAAGAAGAGAACTCACTAGTGTCACCTTTCACATATCGAGATGCATCAGAATTGTGTTATACCATCAGCAAGAGCATGTGTATCATGAGTACCTTCGACTGAATGGGCATAAATAGTAGTGTTCCCCATAGATGACGATAAGATCGATGCATTCTCAGTCACATTACATGTCGTTCTCTGCTTCCTCTTCAACATCTCCTTTAACTCGTGATTCTCATTGATAAAGACTATCCATGCTTTCGCTCGTTCTTTGTTACCATCAAATTTGTCGGGTAGCCCCCTCTACCGCCCATTAGGCCCCACGATTATGACCATGACATCTAGATTATCCACATGCACCTATCTCTCTCTCTCCCTTGGTGGTTTTGGACAAGCCACGCTCGACTGTCCAACTTCTTCACAGTTGTATCATCAATTTAACTATTCCTCTGCCTTCGTCGATCTCTCACGCATGAAAAACCAAATTTCTCTCCTCCATTGCTTTAATTTCAAGTGCACTGCACCCTATCCTGCACCAAGCTGCTCGAGCCATTTTATGGCAATCCAGCGGTCGAAAGTGTCGTTGATTCAGTCCTAGGGCATGCTCGAGCGTGTCTTTGACTTCCCAGCTCGTTGCAATCGTAACCGTATGACAAGTGCTCATGCCACAATCTGCAGGTTGCCTTCCTAGCAAGTTGCGGCCCTTCATCGCCTTTCTAAAGAGCAGCGATCGCATTGTTGCCTTCCTAGGGAGCAGCTATCCCGTCGTTGCATTCCCAGTCGCGCGATCCCGCTCCTCCCTGCCTCGTCTCCTGAGCCGCACCGCTCGATCCCTTTCTGATGGCAGAAAGTAAGCTCCTAGTCTTGTCTGCTTGCGCCGAGCAGCAATTCCTTCGTTGCCTTTCCAATCGTGTGATCCATCTCCTCCATGCCTCGCCTCCTGAGCCGCACCGCTCGATTGCTTTTCGTTGGCATTGAAGGTCGAAAGGCGGCGACTGAGGAGAAAAAGGCGACGATGTCTCGCGATTCGATCCCGCAGCTCTATGACCACCTTCGTGACCAAACTCTTTGGGATCAAAGCTTGCTGGAAGACAACTACGAAGACGTGAGTTGCTAAGTAGGCTTTGATACCATGAATAAACTATTAATTTGGTAAAAACTTATGTCCTTCATTCATGAGTTGGGGCTTTTATAGATTCTTACAATCTTTTTGCAAATAACTTATAGACTTCTTTTATATTTTCTATTTACAATTAGACCCCTCAAATAAGATACAGATCTCAACATTTTCTTAGGGAGTTAAAGTGGGTTTTGAATAGAAAACCTGGCTCACGAGAGCTAAGAGAGAATGCTTTGAGGAGGAAAAACAGATAGCAGATAAAACACTACTATGAGATTTCATCTTTTTGGGGATTATATGTTCCTAATTTGAGGCTTCTCATGGGCATAAGCCTCATACTTAATTATATTTCTTGATCAAAAGAGAATTTTTTATTATGACTGTGTTATGATGATTTACAAGGATGGCTTTACTTGCGGTCTAATTTGCTGTGATTTGAATTCGAGAGAAAGTTATGCCACTATAGACACTAAGGAGTTTGTAAGGGAATGATGAAAACTTTGATCAAGATCTCATGATATTACACTCGAGATTTTAGGAACTCAGATCTACTTGTTCCAGAGTAAATAGTTGGTCCAGCGTGACTGCACGATCTTTGCCAGTAGCCTTTAATTGCTAATCACTCTGTCCCAGTAAAATGCTTATTGAAGGGTCTAATTTTCATCTCTTTTGACAAAGATTGTGCCTAATGCCTTATTCGCTGCATGACATATAACTCAATGGATTTAATCACTAAGACTGTAAACTCCAAGTATCAGGGCATGCATCCTAATAGAGATATCTTAGTGTCGATGCCTAGTTGAAAACTATGCACAAATACATATAGAACACCACAGGAATGTACCTTCTCTGTTACGCCAAACGACACAAATGGTCTCCATTTTGATGTGAAGAGCTTTCAGTATGAGCATAAGGACTCCATATATGAAACTAGCTTTGTTATCATACATGTATGTTATCTATCTATTATAATTAAATATCATCTTCTTATATTATTATGTAACAGATGCTGCTGTCGAATGCAAAACTATTCTCGACATAGTTGAATCCGCGTGGAGTGACGGTGTGCCTATTAGCATTGGATCTGAGTGCAAGTTAAAAGAGATATTCCACAAAGCCCTTGATTTACTACCCAGACTCTGGCAACAGGCTGGTCTTCTCGATGAAGCAGTTGCCGCCTATCGCCGAGCTCTAACCAAGCCTTGGGATTTAGGTCCTCAAAGATGTGCTAGCCTTCAAAAAGATTTGGCCATCACTCTACTCTATGGAGGAAGCGAAGTAACCCTCCCTGCCCATTTTCAACAACACTATGGATCTCGATCCCCTGATAATAATATTGAGGAAGCAATTCTCTTACTAATCATTCTCATCGGAAAGGCAGCTTCTCAGGAAATAAGTTGGGATCCTGAAGTCATGGATCATCTTACTTTTGTGCTATCTTTTTCAGGGCAGCTTGAATCTTTGGCTGGCTATGTTGAAAACATGCTTCCTGGCATGCATAGCCGACGCGAAAGATGGTATTTTCTTTCACTCTGTTACAGTGCTGCTGGTCTGAACGATACAGCGCTAAACATTCTACGGAAGGCTCTAGGCCAATCAGAAAAAAAGAAGAAAGATTATTTTCTTTCCCTTGTTTTAGGCGCGAAGCTGTGTCTTAGAAATCCTGCTCATGCTGAAGAAGGTCTCGGCTTTGCCCTAAGGGCAATCAAATGTTCTCTTGAACAACAAAAGCATCATCTTATCGGAGTTGCCAATCATTTGGTTGGTTCTTGTTATAGACGATGCGCTAAATCCTCGAAATCCGATTCCGAAAGGTTGAAGTTAGAGCGAGAATCTTTAAACTCGCTTCAGTTTGCGGCAACCATTGAGAAAAAGGATGCGGAGCTAATTTACAGCATTGCTTTAGAGCATGCAATGCAGAGGAATCATGGCTTGGCCAGAGATTATGCAATTAGGTATTTAGATATGACGGCTGGTTGTTCTGTGAGAGGGTGGACTCTCTTAGCTCTTGTGGTATCAGCTGAGCAAAATCTGAAAGAGGCAGAAACAATAGTTGATCTCTCCATTGATGAATCAGGGAAAGTGGAGCAGATGGAGTTATTAAGGCTGAAAGCTTTCGTTCAGGTTGCTCAGGAAGATCTCAAGGGTGCAGTAGAAACATATAGGTTTCTACTTGCCTTGATTCAAGCGAGGGGAGAAAATCAATCATGGCGTGCCAACATTGAGGTAACGGCTACATGCCACTTAATTCCTATGTGTTTACATATCTAACACCTAAACTTTTGCATACCTACCACATAATTCTTATGTATTTACATATCTCTTATCCGAGCTTTCATTTTTACATGCATAACACATTGGCACTTTAAGCCTGTGGTATTATTGATATATTTTATGTGATATTAAGGATTTGAGGGCTATTGTGTAAAAATGAAAGCTCGAGTAAGAGATATGTAAATACGTAAGAATTGTGTGCTACGAAAGTAAATGCCCTAAAATTTATTTTTTACAGGCATCCATTTTACTTATGCATGACTTCTTAAAATGTTGCTATTTTTATATGATATGAAAGGTTTGGGTGTTATAAATGCCCCCAAAAAAAGCTTGGTATTAAATTTGGTGGTATGTATGTAAATTTCAAAAAAAAATTGCTTAGGACATCATAATGCTGTTCGTTTTGCACTTTCCGAGCACCTTGAAAGCTTTTTCTTCGATTAGACTGAAGCGGAGCGGCGACTTGAAAGGGAAACTTGGTTGGACTTAGCAATGGTCTATACCAAGCTTGGACTATGGTCTGATTCTAATATTTGTTTGAATAAAGCTAAATCACTCGGACATTTTTATCCAAGAATCTGGCATGCAACAGGTTGGTAATGTTTTTCAATGTGTTGTTCTCCTTATGTCCTTCAACAATTTTGCATGAAAACACTTTGATAGTATCATTATTACAGAATTTTCTCACATTGAATTTTATATTTTCAGATGTGATTGCTATACTAAATGTCACAGACTCCTATTACAAATGTTGTAGGTAATCTGTTTGCAGCTCAATCATTGCATAAGGATGCTTTAGCCGCCTTCTCAATGTCTCTCTCGATAGAGTCAGACTATGTCCCAAGCATGGTGTCTGCGGCGGCAGTTCTGAGGAAACTCGGCGATCGATCTTTGCCGATCGCTCGGAGTTTCTTGATGAATGCTCTTCAAGTCGATCCAACCAGTCATGATGCATGGCTGAATTTGGGGTTTGTAGCAAAAAGTGAGGGATCGCTGCAGAAGGCTTCAGACTGTTTTCAGGCGGCTTATGAACTCAGGATGACTTCTCCAGTCATGAATTTTATGTGAGTTCGATTTCATTCTTTTCTAGTGAAGGGAAAAGTTTGGAGTTCTTGCAATTCTTTCATAAATGTGTTAAATATGTGTATATGATGAGTCAAATTGCAGGGATTTTGGTTAGAAATGATCCATATGGTTGGAAGCAGCTTGAGATTAGTGAATGCGAACATGGAGTCTAATTTATTTTTTTCCTTTACACCACTCAACTTTCAAATCACATTAAAAAAAAACTATTTTAACATTAACATTGAAAACTTGAAATATACTTCGAAATTTTTAGGAATTGAGAAATATAGCTTGGAATTGATTAACTTTGAAACATTAATATATATATATATAATATAGGTGTCAGTAAATTTTTTTTTGTGCTAGATTTATATAATACAAGAGAATAGAGTGGCATGCGTGCATGTAAAATTTCCTTAGAATTTTCTATGTTTTTAATCATATTACTCGTGGATGAAACTCTTATTTTCCCTTTCATGAGAATAGAAAGGGCTCGAAATGCTTTCAAACAAGTAATCAATAAACTACTATTTACTTTATATTCAGAATTCAATTGTGAGCTAAAGATTATTTTTGTACTGAAATTTGAGCCACAACTTGCTACATCCTGCCATTCGACCCCAACTTTGTGCCGCAATAAGGAACAAATTATGACAACAATAAGACTCGAAAAGCAACACAGGTCAATAATATAGAAAAATGTCGACATAAAAACATTCATAAAAATAAAACAGCTTATAAACTTGATAGAATTGCAGTTGGTAGGTTCGAAATTATAGAAAAGAAAAAAAAAATATCTGAAATAAAACTGAATCAAAAATGGCTCTGGTTCATACCCCGACAACACCTGGCTACGAATAACATCCTTTTTATCATATTACCAGGATAACATTAAAAGCATAAAAACCCACCCAAACAATTAAAGCTCCAGCCACTTCGGCCTCCCCTTCAATTGGGACATCCTCCCCTGGCCTATCAAGTTTAACACCAATATCTTCTTTGTAATCTCCATGAACCTATATTATTTATATCCACCATGTAAAAATATCATTCATAAAGCAATATATATATAAGGATAAATATTATATATATAAGATGCACACCTCCATGAGTTTTCCAAGATCAAACTTTGGAGCCTTGAGGATCTTAACCTTGCGGATAAACACATTCTGGAGGGGATAGATACTCGTCGTCGCCTTTTCAATCTCCTTCCCTATCACCTCCGGAATGAATTTCTGTACCAATTCCTTTAGATCACACGACGAAGCTTGGTTCGTCATAATTTCCCTCATTTTGCGACGGATCTATTAGAAAAATCAAATAAAAATTTGAGCAGTAAATCTTACAATAAGATGTTGATAAATGGTGTGCGGACAGAGATGGAATGGATTCTACTTGTCTGATCTGACTGCTCTGAGCATAGCAAGTTCGCTTCACTTGATTTGGTCTTCTCTTGGTGAAGCCAATGCAGAACAAACGTAATGTGTAATTATCAGTAGTCTTCACATCGACATGTGCTTCGATTAGCGTCTGCCATTTACGAACCAAAGACCTCAGCTTGTCGGTGGTGAAATCCATTCCCTAGAGAAGAAATAGTAGTAAAGATTTAAAATAGAAATATAATTGATAACTAAATTGTTAATGCAAAAATAATTAAATAATTATGTTTTAGACTTTTACCCAGAAGTTTGTGAGAACATTCTTGCCTTGGACGTCCTCTGCACGAAGCCTGATCTTCCGGTATGCCTGATCCTCATCATTCTGAAGATCGGCGAGGGAAATCTCAAACACTCTGTGCTTGAGACCTTCGGAAGCAATCTGAGATACAGAAAAAGAGAAATTAGTTAGGTGAGAACTAACGATTACTAATTATGTATTCCTTTAGATAACTGAAAGTATCCCCGCCGGAGGCATTAAAAAAACCTGAGAGATTTATACAACTTAATTTTTCTCATGCGATTTTAGATGAAAGAAACGAAAACTTATGTGGCAGTTGGCTTAAAGCTGCTGAACAGATTCTAAACAACAAAACATTTATCATTGTAAAAAGTCCGTAAATGAATCCTTCTCTGACAATCTAAACTACAAACGCAACCGAATCCCGCTGAAGATATGAGGTCATTTTTGTTAAATTAATGTCATATTAAATTGTTTAAAATGCCAATAAGTTAGATCTTCAAAAGACGAAGATAACCTAATTTAAACTACAAACGCAACCGAATCCCGCTGAAGATAGCCATGAGGTCATTTTTGTTAAATTAAAGTCATATTAAATTGTTTAAAATGCCAATGATTAAGTTAGATCTTCAAAAGACGAAGATAACCTAATTTAACTGTGTTTTAATATATGTATAGCACTAACATCTCAATACAATAACATTAAACAAAATACAATATTGATGGAATAACACAAACATCTTAGTAATAATGAAATGCAAATGATATTGAACCAAATAAAAGAGAGAAATTCCGATTTACTAAACATAAAACAGCAAGAATGTGCATTCATAGTCAGAGGCAACAAACTAATTTTGGCATGCTGTTGTGACTTGAGAGGCAGAAAAGAAAACAATTGGTGAGAATGCAATTGTAAGAGAAATTTCTGATTCTGCCACTAATTATAAGTAATCTATATAAGAGCAAAAATAATGATGCTTAGCATAAAAGTACAAAGGCAATAATTTTCTATCTACATATTTAATAGGTATAAGCAAAGAGAATACTGCTGAATGCTGAAAAATGAAAAAAAAAAACATTAAAGTGACAAAAAAGAGAAGATTTATCCAATTTTACAAGCCAAGTGCATACAACGAAATAAGTTAAATTATAGACAGAATAGAGCAAACAGCTGTTCATTTTAAACACAGGCCAAATGGAAAGTTTTTACAAACTAAACTGCCCGTTTGTCTACATAAAACCAGTAGAGAAGCAAAATTTTGATCTTTTTTAGTATTTGCAGTTCCTTGGTGAAAAGAATTAACAAAAAAAATTAGAATTCAAAGCACTGACTCTTAAAAGTCACAATAACGCTGATGATGGTTCTCTGGTGACATCAATTGAATCGCCCCTCTTAATAAAAAAAAAAAATAGAAAGAGCCCGTCATTTTACAACAAAATACAAATATATGAAAAGTTCCTTCCATGATAGCATACAAAAAAATGTAGTCTCAATTCAAAAAAACTTTCATTTTCTTTTAAAATCCCATCTAAATAGGTTAAGTTAAAAATCTTCAGAACAAAACAGACAAGTAATCCTTTGCAAATAAAAAAATTAAACACAAACCAGCAAATGCAGAAAATTGAAAAACAACATTGATTGCCAAAAAAAAAGATAGATTTCAATAATAATTTGGTGATATTTACTTCCCAAACAAGATAGCACTCAGAATTTTTGAAAAAAAAGGAAAAGAAATACAAGGATTACAGGAAAAGCAACATGTAAATCGCCTATGAGTCAATTATAAACCTTGTTTAATTTAAAAACAAAAAGATTTAAATAATAAGTTGGTGGTATTTGCTTTCCCAACAAGATAGCACTCAGAATTTAAAAAAAAACTGAAATGAAATACAAGGATTACAGGACATGTAAATCGCCTAGGAGTCAATCAATTATAAAGCTTTTTAAAAGACAATGGTAATCGTGCAATATAAATTTTAAATTGCCTAGCCATCATTCACAAGCAAAATAGAAGGACAAAGTGGCCAAAACCTGTTGCAACACAGCAATCAACAAATAAACATCAGAAATTGAATCTCGATAAGATTACCTTACAAATTCCACAAAACTTTAAAATAAATATTTACAAAATCTACAAGTGGAATTCAATAAACCTTTTGTATATAGCATTTACTTTCCAGTAAATTTATAAAGAAACTCAAGCTGTCATTCATAAATCAAAGTTCTGGTAGCAAATAACATTATTTTACCCCTTTCACTACATGTGACGAAAGACCCACTGTATGGCTTTGCACCAACTTCCACCAAACCAGTTCCTCTCTAACACCACTAATGTTTGATTGTTTATAAAAGAACAGAGCCCAGCTTCCATTACATTCAATCGTCTCAAATAGCTCACTCAAAAAGGACAATAATATACAACCGCCACTAGGATGGCATGACTATGGAATGGATCAATATGATTTTATAATAATAGCAACAAAAAAGAAATCATCCCAATTCCCTTTGAAAAGCTACAAATTGCTTTCCATTCTGAGAAGAAAAAGCGGGATACAAGCTAAAAAAAAAGGTTGAATCTAATTTTCGACAAAAAATTAATGCAAAGAGAATTTTAATTTGGTCATATTGCAAGAATATGAGTTACATAAAACATAAGAAACAACAATAAGCCTTTATCCCACTACGTGGGGTCAGCTACATGAAACTTTTTTCTCCATTAATTGAGTGTCATATATTGATTTAATTCTAATAGATTAAGATCATTTTTATACAATATGACCACTTTTTAGTTCTACCTCCGCCTTTCCTAACATCAGTCGTAGCTAAAACATCTACGCTCATAACTGGATCATTAGATGGTCTAAGAAAACTCTCTCTAATCTTGTCCGCCACTGGAGCAACACCAAACCTATCACAGATGTATTCATTTCGCATTTTGTCTCGAAGTGTCAAGTAACACATTCACCTAAGCATTCTCAACTCAACAACACAAACTTTATTTTATTCTTCACTTTCAAAGGTCAACATTCGCAAGTCTCACCACTATCTTATACAATTTCTTATCAGATTAAGAGGTATTTTCCTATCACACAATAAACCCAAAGCATTTCTCTACTTCAACCAACCAACTTGAATTCTACTAATAACATCCCCATCTTTATCACCATCACTCTGAACAATAGACCAAAGATATTTAAAACATTCACAAATTTTAATAATTTGATCACTCATAGTTACAACTTTGCCACTAGAACTACTACTAAAATTACATTCCATGTATTCAGTTTTAATGTTACTCAAATGAAGGCCTTCAGACTCCAATCTAGACATTCATAATTCAAGTTATTCATAATTCAAGTTTCCCCCAAACTCTTTCTCTAGTTTTATCCACAAGAAAGATATCACTAGCAAAGATCATACAACAAGGTACATCCTCATGTAAATGTCCAGTAAGAGCATCCATAACTAAAGAGAAAAGACAAGGGCTTAAAGCCAATACCTGATGTAATCCAACTAAAATGGGAAATACTTGGTCAATCCTCCTATTCGAGCACAAGTAACAACTCTGGTACATGTCTTTAATGACCTGAATATAAATCATATCAACATATTTCCTCTATAGACCTCTCCAAAAGACTTCCCTTGGAACCTTACCGTAAGCTTTTTCTAAATCACTAATAATCATTTGTAGATACTACTTATTCTCTTTGTACTTCTACATCAAGTCTCTCGATAAATGTATAGCTTTTATAGTAGACATGCCCAGCATAAATCCAAATGATTATGAGAAATCTTTAAATCCTGTTTTAACAAATGTTCGATTACCCTCTCCCATAATTTTTAAGTAAGACACATCAACTTAATTTCTCTATAATTTGCACGCTCTTGTACATCCTCTTTATTCTTAAAAATGGGGATCGAAACACACTTCCTTAACTTAAGCATCTTTTTAGTTTTTAAAATAATATTAAAGAGTTTAGTAAGCCAAAAAACTCTCAAATCTCTTAAATATTTTGACACTTCAATTAAGATATCACCAAGTCAAGCCGTAGTAATTTTTCACCCTTAGTTCTCTTTAAAGCCTCATCAACATCTTTTTTACTAATGCGACGATAAAAATAAAATATTTTATTATTATGAATGAGATTAATATCACTATGGTCGATTATATTTTCAGAAACTTAATTGAAAATTTTATCAAAATAGCTCACCAACCTATGTTGAATATCTTCTTCTAAGAAAAACATTTTTAGATTTTCAACTTTAATACACTTTAGTTGAATATTTACTTTTTTCCTCTTCATTTAACTAGTTTGTATATGTATTTTCCCCTTCTTAAGTATCTAATTTATTATAAAGATCACTAAAATAAGAAGTTTTTGTGTCACAAATAATAACATAATAAAGATGATTGAAAATTTGAAACATAATACTTGATCATTATTTGAGGTTATGTTCATCAATGAGGAAAAATAAAACCCTATGTTAACAATTTTGAACTTGAGGACCAATATGATTTTCTAATAATAGTAACAAAAAAGAAATCATGCCTATTTCCTTTGAAAAGAAATAAATTGCTTTATACCCGAGGAGAAAAGACGAAAGATAAGAGCTAATAAAAAAAGGCGCAATCGAATTTTCCGCCAAAAATTCATGCAAAAGAAGATTTTCATTGCAAAATTTTATCAAAATGACTCACCAACTTATGTTGAATATCTTCTTTTTAGTAAAGCATTTTTTATTTTCATATTTAATACACTTTACTCGAATCTTTACATATTTTTCTCTTTGATTGACTAGTTTATACATATATTTTTCGCCCTCTTTAATATCTAATTTATTATAAATATCACTAAAAGTAGAATTTTTTACGTCACAAATAAAAATATTAAGAAAGATGATTGAAAATTTGAAACATGATTCTTGATCATTATTTGTGGTTATGTTCATCAATTAATGAAAAATAAAGCTCTATGTTAACAATTTCAAACTTGAGGACCAATATGGCTTTATAATAATAGAAACAAAAAAGAAATCATCCCAATTCCCTTTGAAAATTAACAAATTGCTTTCCACTCGAAAAAAAAGGTGGGAGACAAGAGCTAATAAAAAAATATAAGTAATCAAAATTTCCACTAAAAATTCATGCAAGAGAGGATTTTAATTTGATTATAATGCAAGAATATGAATTAAATAAAAACATAAAAAAGACAATTTAAAATTTAAAACATAATGCTAGATCATTATTTGAAGTTATGTTAATCGATAAAGGAAAAAAAATGTATCTATGTTAACAATTTGGAACTAGCAAAATTTTATATGCACTATTCTCTAGAACTACTCTTTGCAACATCCATGAGGTGGTGGAAATCAGGTCAAGTTTTGCCATGACTTGATTTCTCTAAAAGGATTATTTGCTTTATCAGCATAAAGTCAACTCAATTTTAGTTCTATTAACATTATCCCCAGTAAAAAACGACTTGGATTATTTGCTTTGTCGGCATAAACTCAACTCATTTTTTAGTTCTTTTAACATAATACCAAAAAAAAAAGATATTTTTTCAACATTATCCCCAATAAAAATTAGGTGTAAATATAAACCTTCGAATTTTGCACCAAAAATTCATGCAAAGAGAATTTTAATTTGGTCATATTGCAAGATTACGAGTTAAATAAAAAAAAGAAAGATAATTGAAATTTGAAATATATTTCTTAATCCTTATTTGAGGTTATGTTAATCAATGAGGAAAAATAAGGCTCTATTTTAAAGATTTCTAACTTGAGACAAAATTTTACATGCACTATTGTATAGAAAAAAACTCTTTGAAACATCCACGCCTTATCAAAAACATTGTAGTGGAGATCAAGACATGGTTTGCCATGACTTAATTTACTACAAGGATTATTTGCTTTATCAGCATAAACTCTACACATTTTTAGTTCTTTTCACATTATCCCCAGTAACATTTCTACTTCCAATTACATTAAATATACATTTCACAATAAACATCTATTAGCTTGCCTCAATAACTACAACCTCTGCAGCTCTTGCGCTCAACAATACAACAAACCACTAAAATAATAATCCCAAACCTGTAACATCACAGTCCAATAAACATAAATTGTAATACTTCCTTCACCTTCGATTAAAATTGATAGAAGTCAAAATAGACCACACAATACCATAAGAAAATGATTACTTGACAGTTCCATAAAAAAAAAAATTTGAGTGCAAAGCCGATCAATCTCAAAATCCGTAATGCTAAAAAGCTAGGAAGATTTACATGCATACCACTTAATTCTTCTGTGTTTAGGCATCTAAAACCTAAACTTTAATTTTTACATATAGCGAACTTGTGAAAGAAAAGGTGTACTTCACTTTTTAAAAGTTAAAATGGTGGTAGTTTTTATAAAAGATTTGGGCAGTCTAATTGTAAAAATATAAAATATAGGTGTTAGATGAGAAAATACACAAGAATTGGGCGGTATGTATGTAAAGCCCCAAAAAATTATCATACTAAAGATCAATCCTACAAAAGGAAAGCTGAACACTCGCACGTGCGTTTCATTTGGGTTGAAAATGAACTGAGTTTAGACAACTACCATCTTGCTACTTTATTTATTAAAGCAAAGTTTGAATATGAACCATATTTTAAAAAGCATGGTCAAAGTTATTTATTATTTTTCTCATCAGCCATAAGCTTTTATCAAGCTCTAATTGACCTAATGAATTAAAAAGGATCAAGATTCATAAGAGTGTCATCCTCACTTTCATAATCATATGTAATGTACTCATCATCTAAGTCTGTCCCATTGACATCTTCCAAATATTCTTCAATTGCTACAATTTTCTTCTTAATCTATATATCAATTAAAATTAGATTCGATATAATTTAAAATAAATCAACAAATTAACTACAAAATCAAGTAATCATACTTAAATAACCTTTCGACTTTTTGTAGCATTTTATCAAAAATATATTAGCTATAAATATAACAAAACATAACATAATATAACACAACATAATATGATATTATATAATAAAAATTTTTTACAAAACCTAATGGAGATGCCACTTAAAAATGTATCAAGTCATTAAGCCTCGAGGCATGTCTTAGAATAAAAAAAGCATAAGCCAAACTAGTGAGAATGAAGCTTCCACCCCAACATATTTTCTGCGCTTCAGTTTGAGGCACACCTCAATTACTTTTTTAAACAAGAATAACTCTGATAATATACATAACTTTAAAAGAATATAAAACATAAGAAATTATGTAAACAATATAAGAATATATCATCAATTACACAGCCATTTCAACATTTATTGAGCACTTAGAAGGTAAATCGTTAAGGAATAAACAAACATATTCATAAATATAAATTAAAAAACTATTCAGTTATATGATAAGCTTTTCAAATTTAGTCCAAAATTGTTAAAAAAGTGTAAATAAACAATTGTAAATGAGACATGAACAAGCATCAAGTCATTGATCGGCAACACTAATTCCCTTGCAACCTATGCTAGGGCATAGCTCTATAAAATCAAACATTAACACCACATTCATCCCCCAGACATAAACATTAGTATAAAAGCAATATACACCCATTTTAAGATAAAATTAAATTTATTCATTAGTCATTAAATCAAACACAATCACATCATGATATGGAAAGCCACATATCCAGTGATGAGAAAATTTCCATAATGATGACATGAAATTTAAATTGAATTCATTAATATATTTTTTTTTCGTGAAGATGAAGTGTTTCCTTAATATTTATACCAAGTTTGATATTAATAGGTCGTTATATATTTAGAAAAAAAAATTAATCACTCAAAATTCCAACTTCATGTTTTAAAAGTTCAAGGCAAACCACATAGCGATAACATCAAAAGTTTGTTGGCTTTGACTTAAAAAAATAATAATAATAAATATTAATGTTTGCATTTTTGAATATCAAAAAAATATATTCAATAATTTCAAAGTGTTTAGTGCAATGCCATATTAAAAGATTTTTATTCTTTTTATTTTTTTTAGAAGATGCGCACAAAGATAAACAACATTTTAATAATTAGAGAGCACATAAGTTGTATTTGCGAATAGATACGTTATGTGCATGCATGCATAGATAGATACATTTATTCATATATATTGTATAAACAATAGCTCTTTAATTAATAAAACAAAAATTACATTATGTAATTTTTTAGCAAGTATCATAATACAACCAATAAGTGTACTATCCATCCATTCAAAAAAATAATAATTTAAAAAAATAAAAAATAAATAAAAGGTAACATAAAGCAGAAGATGAAACATCGAGAAGAGTGTAGAGGACACAACAAGAAGCAATATCAAGAAGTGCTTTTTAAGTGACAAATTACTGGCTCCAATAGCAAAAAATATAAGAAATCCTACCATCCCGAAGAACAAGAAAAGGACTACCAAAAAATGACTAACTACGACACAAATCAACAATTAGGAGAACCACTGAGGCTAAGCAAGTATTCATGCCAAATTATTACTGGAAAGTTCAAAATCATTCAATAAAATTTTAACAAAATTCACTTTGAGCTAAAGATGTGTGCGCATACTACAACAAAACTCAAGGCAATGTTATGAACGTGTTTTGCATGCATAGATACATTAGGCTGATAATGACTGCAAATATAATAAAAAAGCAATATGAGCTTGATGAATAATCCAACAGAATAATAAAAATAAAAAAGCAAGAAATACTTGGTTCAATAAGATTAAAATCTCTATTGTATCAAATTTACGTACAGTTTAATTGATGTTTAAAAAAACACACTTGAAATTGAAAAAATAAGAGTCATTTAGATACATATCACCCAATTCTTATATAAAAACATATCTAACACCTAAATTTTGCATTTTAGGGGTCATTCATATCACATCAAAAGTACCACTGTTTTAACTCTTATAAAATGAAATACACCTTTCATATATATAACTAAGATGACATACATGTAAAAATAGAAGCTTGGTTGTTAGATATGTAAATACATAAGAATTGAGTGGTATGCATGTAAATCTTCCAAAAATTAAAAACAAATTGTGAACTAGCTAACATTTGATAAATCCTGGAGGGATTCCAGGAAACATAACTTTCCAATTTTGCATGTTTCATTCATTGTTGACAATAAAAGCAAATTGCTCATAGCATGCTTGTCATCTAACAACATTACCACATCAACATCATGATGCCAGTTCTACAGACACCAACGTTGTGTCGATTGCTTACAAACAATAGAGCCAAGCTTTCCTTGAACACAGTCATCCTCACTCCTGTTAGTGTTTAATTCACTAAGACTTCCAGATCCTTAATAAAAAACTCAAAAACCATCTAATAACATCCACCATCAATCCCACACTGGAATCTCTATGTAAAATTTTAGCAATATGCTAATCACAACACTCTTTTGTGTGTTACAAATTGAAAAGAGATCTTTCCAATTTGCAAACATAAAAGTTTTCAGTTCTCCAAAGAAGGAGAACACGATAGTAATGAGAGAAATGCAACAGGAAATGGATTTAAGGATAACCATTCACCTTTCTGATATAAAAATCTTGCCAAAAAAGTTTTTCAATGCAATGACTGAACTTGGCAATAAGATCAGAGAAGTTGACTAAGGAATACCTTTCTAACACTGTTTGAATGTGTGTTTATCCATGAGAAAGAAAATTCGGCAACATCTTACCATCAATTAACTCCAGTCATAGGGTCAGATAGGCGCTTAACATTCTCTAATAGGAGAATTCTGAGAAGTTATTAATCAGAGGCGCATACTTTATTTAAGGTCAAAACATTGAATAGTTTCAAGTGAGTAATATAGAGCTCATACAATTAGCTAAAAAAGTTTTCATCTACAACATAAATAACTTCGGCAATCAAACGAAACATCACCTTAGTTCCCTGCGTCCTCGACACGAGGGTCTTCCCGATATTCCTCACGGTAAAGACCGACGGAGCCTTGATGTCATACCAATCCTTCTTCGAAAAGGGATCCACACTGTAAAAAAATAGCAATTCGAAAAATAAATAATAAAATCAATGGAACATAACTAAACCGAAAGCTCGAAATCAGGAATGGGGTTAGTAGCAACGTACGTCTTCTTCTTCCCTCCCTTCTTCCCCTTGGAGATCCTCTTGTTCTTCCTGAGAATAGGTGATTGGAAAAATCTTCAGAATAAATGAAGCAACGAAAATGGTAGATGTAAAGCTAATCAAGTGGAGAATTCTCACCCAACCGCCATGTCTGGTTTCTTCTGCCGCCTGCGCCTATTAGGGTTAGAGAGGTAGTTCAAACGCGCAGCAAATGGAGATGGCGATCCAATTCTGAGTATTTATAGACAGGAGTTTCGTGATCTGACGGTAGAGATGTTTCCATCTGACAAGGCGTGCTGCTCCTAAGCAGGCCTTTAATTGGGCTTCCCTTTAAATTTCTCTGATCCAACAATTTCTTAAGTGGGCTTTTGTTATTTAAATAAGATGCAATTCTGAGTATTTATAGACATGAATTTCGTGATCTGACGGTAGAGATGTTTCCATCTGATAAGACGTGCTGCTCCTAAGCAGGCCTTTAATTGGGCTTCTCTTTAAATTTCTCTGATCTCAACAATTTCTTAAGTGGGCTTTTGTTATTTAAATATAAGAATATTAAATTAGTTTTAAATTAAATTATGGAGATAAAAAATCAAGTTAATGAAATAAGAATTATTTATGAGCTTAAAAAACTAAATTATATGTTAAATTATAATTTAATTTGAAATAACGTAATTTCTCTTTAAAATAAAGAGTTGGGATTTTTCGGGTGAAATTTTAATCATCTTTAATAATAATAATAATAATAATATCGAGTTACTTATATTATTGGAAATCGTCATGCTTCCCACAACTATTGGAAACTAAAAATCAAACTTTACATATGTTTGTTAAATGATAGCTTTGCTAAAATTAAAGGAGATGGATGAAAAAATCGATAAATGGTGTGTGGTGAATATTAAAATATTAAATTTTCTTCTTATATAATTTTTTGAAATTATTATAAACACAATTTTAAATTTTAAAAATTTAATTATAGTTATGTACATCAAGAATTCACCGACACGAATCTCGGGGAGATATGGCCAAAAATGCATCGCAAAGAAGGGCTCACTTGCAGAAGACAATAACATCAACTTGTTTTACCAGATGCAACCAACTGAACCAAGGCTCGAAGTCAATTGAGTGTAGACCGCCTGAATTAAGGGCTAAGGGTAATTGAGTAGATAAAAAGCATCGATTTGCCTTTCATCTCAATCAGACTCGAGGAAATAGTTCAGTATCACAAGCTGTCTCATAAATGCTTCTGAGGTTTCTCATCTATGGCTAAGAATTGATAATAAAATAGCTCAAAAACATCTTGAATGATACGTCATTAATGAATGAGTTATATATCATGTTATGGTGACTCACTCTTGTTTTTGTTCATTTCTCTTTTTATTTTTGAAGGAGTTGTCAATTTATCCATCATCGTATACTTCTCTTTCCTGAATAAGTCTCTTATGAATCCATGTGAATGAACAATAGAAAATAGAAACCAAAAAAGCAGGACATACGATAAATGTGGAAAAATAAGAAAAACAATGTCGAGAACTTCCGTGCGGCAAACCTAGGTTTAGAGGCATTGGAAGGCAATTTGGGCGCCCAGGCACCAAGCACTAGCACCTAGACGCTAAGGACTAGCACATAGGCACCCAATACTGGCGCCTACTTGTGGGGCTCTCGGGTTATAGGCCCCTTAGAACGTAAGCACTTAAGCACTTGGGGCAGGTGCTTAGGCACTGATCTAGTCTCAAAAATTACATGTTCGCCCCTACTGAAATCAGGCATTACAAATACATTTTGGGCATCTTAGTGGTGCAAACATGCGGCTTGGATGTCCTATCATTTGGTCAACCCTGAGATAGCTGACCTTGGTTTGATGGTACTTGATCGTCTGATTGTTCAGAAATGGGTTCACCAGTTGGCTTGAAGTAAAATGGATCCCTAGATGAGGAACTTCTATCAATTGGATAAAACTAAGCCATGGGGCAGAGCTTAAATTATTGTGATTCTACATGTGGCTCTCTCTTAGACGGGGGGAACCTTCAAGATGTCCTAATGAGTGCGTTGTGGCCATTTCTCGGCTCAGGATGAAGAATCTCAAGGACATCTATTGAGATAGTCGACGATGTTATGCACTTTCCTTGAATGATGTCTTGACAAGAGGCAGATTGGCGCATCTACTTGGCTCAATGAGTTTTGATTCAAATGGCTCTTGTTTGGTCAGCATTCACGCCCAACTAAAGGTGTTTAGTGAGTGGACACTTGGTCTTTTGGTCTGTCGCTAGTGGAAGCTTAGTATTCTGTTGTTGAACCCTTGGGCTTCCACCTACAGAACATTGGTTTTCGGCTTGCGTGCCCCATTGTACTATGTTTCTTTGTGCCTACTACCCATTGGATTTCCTCGAGATACATATTGGTACTTTTTTTATGTATAGCATTATATGATATTAAACAGTATAGTCAAAATTTATGAATGGCCTAAGCCACCCCTTGATTCCACCCCTACTCATCACCGCCATTGCCTCATTGGTTACTAATACTATGTGTTTGATGATCATCTTCAACGCCACATAAATTAATTTATTAAATGCTTAATAAAAAAAAACCTTTTTTTTTAAATGATAAGTACATTTCATTTTAAATCAAATATAAATAAAATAAAGGGGCATTTAGGTACATACCACCAAGTTTCATGTATTTACATGTCTAGCACCAAAGTTTTATTTTTCACGTTTATATCGCCCAAATCTTTCATATTACAACAAAAATAACACAATTTTAAATTTTAAAAGTGAAATATACCTTTTCATACATAAATAAAATGACAAATATATAAAAATTAAAGTTTTGTTGTTAGATATGTAAATGCATAACAAGTAAGTGGCATGTATGCAAATCTTCCTAAATTAAAATAAAATAAAATAAATCTCTGATGACCTTTAAAAACTTCAACACTTCTTAATCAAGATTTATCGTGTCTGGCATGCCCACGGATCAGAATGGTAGGAATCTCTAGGGAGAAGTTAAGAGACAAAGAGGAAGAAAGAAATGAAATAGCACACACAAACTTACCCCATAGGGACGAATTGTGGTATTCGCAGGTTTTGTGACACATTTTATACATTGAAAGTGGAGTTACAAGAGAAATGAGAAGAAATTCTCCTTACATAGTGTAGGTCTAGAAAGATAGAGAAACAAAGGTATAAAATTGTATGTTTGATTCTGCTTTAATGGGTCATTACAAGGCATTTTTGTCTTTTGACGTGCCTTTTTTGTATTTGTAATCAATTATGATAATTTTTTTTCTGGTTTCGATATTATGTCATTTTAAAATTTTCTTAATGGTTCGGTTAAAACTATCAGAATTATTCATTTGAAATTCTCGTAATTTAGAGTACTTTTCTGTTAATACTTCAGCTGAAAACAATTTTCATTTGTGGTAAACTTGAAAAGCTCTTATCTTGCGCTCATGCCCGCTCCATCATTGTGATATTAAAAAGGGTGCATTTACATTCATATCACTCAATTCCTATGCATTTTCATATCTAACACCAACACTTTATTTTTACATTTATACCATCCAAATATTTCATCTCACATAAAAAATACCACCATTTTTACTTTTAAAAGGTGAAATACGTCTTTCTTGCATAGGTAAGATGGCAAATATATATAAATTTTTACATTTAAAAGGTGAAATACATCTTTCATGCATAGGTAAGATGACAAATATATAAAAATTAAAGTTTTGTTGTTAGATATGTAAATGCATAACAAGTAAGTGGCATGTATGCAAATCTTCCTAAATTAAAATAAAATAAAATAAATCTCTGATGACCTTTAAAAACTTCAACACTTCAAGATTTATCCTGTCCGGCATGCCCACGGATCAGAATGGTATGAATCTCTAGGGAGAAGTTGAGAGACAAAGAGGAAGAAAGAAATGAAATAGCACACACAAACTTACCCCATAGGGACGAATTGTGGTATTCGCAGGTTTTGTGACACATTTTATACATTGAAAGTGGAGTTACAAGAGAAATGAGAAGAAATTCTCCTTACATAGTGTAGGTCTAGAAAGATAGAGAAACAAAGGTATAAAATTGTATGTTTGATTCTGCTTTAATGGGTCATTACAAGGCATTTTTGTCTTTTGACGTGCCTTTTTTGTATTTGTAATCAATTATGATAATTTTTTTTCTGGTTTCGATATTATGTCCGTCAAGTCCGCACGGGTTGGTCAACGGACCTTCTGGTCGGCATGTTCGCGGGTCGGTAGACTAAGTTCGAGTCGAACGACTATTTTTAGCTGGGTGTCGGTTGGCCTTCAATCTGTGAAGTCGGACAACTTTGAGAGTAGTAGCAGGTCAGTCTTATGGTGACCGATCAGCTTGTTTGACAATAATTCTTTTGAGATTTCTAAAGATCGTTGGCAGAGATGTTGAGAGAGTCTCACGATGATAGTTGTGAGATTGTTGGTGACATTAGACATTTGTTCGGTCATTGATATGAATATCTGTTGTTGGTCGGCCTGGGTGGCGCTTTAGTCGTCAAATTTACCTTATGTAGGTTGATAGTCATGCAGTTGATTGCCAGCCCTTCAGACGACTAATTGGCGGTAGTAGTCATAACAAATTGATTGAATCATAATAAAGCAGATTCATTCTTTACATTTTAACCCATAAAATGATATATATATCATAAGCATTCAACTAGGCCCCAAAAAAATAATTAATATTTATGCTCTGAAAATAATGATAATAAAACTCCTATCTCCGTCTCTTTTAAGCAATCAACACATCATAATAATTATTATAAATATCTTTGGAATATGAAAATCTTTAATAAATATTAAAATGCAGAGATATCCAACATAAAAGCTTATTGAGATTATTTATTTTATTTTCAACTAACATGCACGATGTGCATGAGATGTGCATGAGAACTCTCCTTTAATACTGCATGCTCTTCATTTATTACACGACAAAAATAAAACATTTTTAAGGCTTCAATTTATTAATTTTGTATACTATCTTGAAAGCGCAAATTAACTATTGAGATCCTAAATGAGAATATATAATTTAATCTAGATAACATTCATTTAGGGTCTGTTTGGGGTAGTTGCATTTTATTGAATAATCTGCTGATAAGCTAGTTGTGGTGACTATTACAAATTTTTATTTTTTTTTAATGTCAGACCGCAGACAGAAAACTGTCACCGCA